TACCGAGGCTGCAAGTGGCAGTGAAATCGTAGGATTCATCTTATAACGAAATATGCATTTGAAGAATTAAACTGAAAGCTTCCGTGACAGATTCCTGGTGAGAGTCAGTTGTACACGTCAACTGACACAGTTCCAGACAATTTTCAGACAGTTCATAATCTATTTGATTTCTATGACTCACTTCCTCCCGACAGGCTTCGACTAAAATTTGGGACCCCCATCTTGCTCCTCATAAATCTCAACCTAGCAAAGTAGTGCAATTGTCAAACAGCTTCTTTCCCGTGTCATCGAGGTAACTCTCTCAATTGGGGTTAACAAAAAGGGAGATTTATTATACTTTGAATTCAGCTGCGTTAAATACCCGGTGATGTTCAGCTGTGCCTAAAATAAACAAGGTACAAGGATATCCTCCCAAGATAGCAGGCCTTAATCTGTTTTCTCCATAAGAGTTTCCTTTAGTCAGTATTATATCGATACTTCTAGAGTTGAATACTGGCATTCAATCGGGAAATGTTGCGTATCCAGAACCTCGGTCATTCTAAGACACTCCATCATTTGTTAGGTTTTCGGCATCAGAATATGCTATAAGTAACAGATACTTATTCATGAATAGTGTAGATATTTTTTTAATTCGTTACTTCCTTCAAGCAGAAATAAATTAACATGACATGATTTCTTATAAATGTACATATTTTGTATGGGTAACGCCGGCATCCCGACAAGTGTCTTTTCTCTCTCTCTCTCTCTCTCTCTCTCACTATATATATATATATATATATATATATATATATAGAGAAATACATACATATATATATATATGTGTGTGTGTATATATATATATATATATATAGAGAGAGAGAGAGAAAAGAGAAATATACATATTTATATTTATATATTATATTACACACACACACACACACACATATATATATATATATATATATATATATATATATATATGATCAATACATATATATATATATATGTATATATATACAGAGAGAAAGAAAGAGTGAAATATATATTGATATATTATATTGTATTATATTATATATATATATATATATATATATATATATATATATATATATGAGAAATACATATATATATATGTATGCATATATATATATATATATATATATAGAGAGAGAGAGAAAGATATATATATATATTTATATATTATATCATATTCTATATATATATATATATATATATATATATATATATATATATATATATATATGAAATTAGTGCATTTTAGTTTTAATCTGACATTATTTGTTATTTTAGAAGTTATATTTTAGTGGATGTACATGCATGGAATAGACGCCCAGTTTACATTGTCAAAATCCGTATTCACCAGTTTTTATAAAGAAAATGTATCATATATATATATATATATATATATATATATATATATATATTTAAAGAAAAACAGACCACTTTAAAGCTCCATTATAATAATTTATTTCACCAAAGACTTTTTTTTTCCCTTCATACATAGCTTTCAAAAGGTGAAACGAAAAATGAAATTAAAATTTACACTTTTGACGGGTAGTATTTAGCTTATATAATTTGACATAGAAGGTAGCGAGGGATGGTGTGAGAGACATGGTCGAGTTTAGAGAGGGGAGGGAGCGTTTTGAAATTTATTTTTATATTTCTTTTTATTATAATACTTAATATTGAGGAAGGGAGGTAAAGATCAGACATTGACCTATTTAATCGGTCAACTCAACAGAAATATTATTGGGACAGGAAAAGGAGAAAAAGGGAAACTGAAAAAGTGTGAAGTAAAGAGATAAGAGATGTACTTAAGGTTTTCGGCGGAAGAAGAGGGGTGGTATAGCTTTAGCTATTTAGATAAAAACAGATTTTAACGTTTGATAGTAACTTAAATCTTAAAAAAACTCCACAAATAAATTAATTCAATGCTTGTTAGCAATTTAAATATTCAACTTCTCTACAAATAAATCAGGGATTTAATATAAGTTGAATACTTAATATAAGTTGAATAAACAACAATAATAAAAAAAATAAAAGTTTACTAATAGTCATATTTTAATATTGTGAATGACTGTTAAGGTAAAATCTTTATCAGTTTGAGTCTAATTCATGTATTTAATTTGTAGCTATTTTTAGAAGGGTAATATTTCTTAATTAAAATTTAGGTTTCAAATCAAGATGGAGTAAGATTTGAAGGTATTATCAAAAGATTTCTTTTTTTTCATACATATACCACATACATATTTACGTAGAAATCATATATACATACGCTCATGTACATGTGCAATTACACATATAGCCACATATGTATCGATATAAACCGGTATATATGCATATACATATACAAATACCTACACATACATTCATATTTATACCTATTTAAATTTTTTCCTTAAATTTTACAGTTAACGTTAGGTGGTGAATTAAGTGTTTAAATTTCAAAAAATATATTTAATTTTAATATTTTAACATCACGATTAATAGTTAAGGAGTAACATATTTTAATTTAAATCTAAATGATCACTTCAAATTGAGATTATCTCCAGATAAGTAAAATTTCCAATCTAACAATTCTAATTAGAAATTATTTAAAAAGAAATTAAGATTAAACGTTAATAAAAAAATATCTGTCCTTCCATTAGAACTCTCTCTATATATATATATAAAAAACATACACCCATTTATACCTACATATGCATACCACAATATCTTACAAATATATTCACACATATCACATATATGAACTCATAAATAAATATATTCACACATGAATCGATACATATACATAACTCTAAAATTAAAAATACACATATATATACAAACACACATACCCCATATATATATATATATATATATATATATATACCTATATATATAAAATTAAAAATATATATATATATATACATATATTTACATAAATCCACATATCCATATCCAAGTCCATTTACACATCTGTATACATACAATTATGTATCCGCACACATGTGTAAATACAATCATCTTCAAATCTATGGTTGTAAAAACGCTCTTTCCAATTTCCCGCAGATATTCCTATATATATCTTTTTTTGTTTTATATTTTCCTTGGGGGAAATTGTAGCTTTGTATATCACGTTTTCTGCCATGCATTTTCCTCATACTGGACAATCAGATCCTGCTCTGCAATTACAGGTAGATGTTTCTTTTTTCAATTTATTTGCATTAAGATCCCTTTGTAATTAGTTATTGTGAAATTCCCTAATAATTTTGCTATTGTGAGAGCTTGTAATTTTTTCTACATTGCTCATTCATGAATAACTCATTTTTAGATTCATTTTATTAAACATCTTTTTCAATAGCTCATCTTACTAAAAAAAGGAATCAGCACATATGCTAGGTCACAAAAATCTCCTGAGCCGACCAAGCATAGAAATGAATACTATATCATACAATACCAGTAATAAGGAGTGCCAGAGAAAAGCGATAATAACAAAAAAATTGCAATATGAGCTCTGGTAAAAAATATGCACTGATAACATAACGGAGGGTGGTAAAGAAAACCAAAAGGAAAAGGCGGAAAAAAAAACAGACGAATTTGTCAACAGGGGAAATCTTCCTAGAGTTTGAACCGATAGACGAGAGTCAACTAGATTTTTTTTAATCGAATTTACCTCAAGAAAGGTAGCAAAGCTACTAAGACAAGAGGTTACTGGGTGTGAAAGCTTTAGAAAACAGAAAACATTATGAAGGAACGGGAACAATAAAAGATTAATTAGGAAGACAGTAGATAACGATTGATATTGCATTTAAATTTATCGAAGTTGTCCAGAAAGCATGGGGCTTGAAAGGGAGAAGTACGAGAAAAGGAACTGTTAGCATAGAACTTACGGTTACATCGAGCCAATTCAACTGACGAGACCATGTTGCCAATGTAGTACTGTATTTAAATTCATAAAGTTTAGGTACCATAGCGAATATTTACCCTGAAAGTATTTATTGAAAAGACACAGGGAAGCAACTTTACGGTGGTGGTAAAGTGACTGATGGAGAGATGCCAGGTCGGGACCAATAATATTGCTGATTCTCCTTTGGATTTTATCAGGAATCACTAAATAAATAGCAGAAGCACTGAACCATATATGGCAGCCATATTTTAAGAATGGGCGAATAGTACACTCTTCCAATCTAACAGAAATTATATTTGGCTCAGTAAGGACCTAACTTAAGAACGTTTAGAATTTAGATTACCCTTCTTGTTCTTTTCAGAGACAGAGTACACAATGATTAATCATAAGTTTTATGTGGAATTAATTTATGTATCTCAGAATTATCTCCCTTTTCCAACATCTAAACCACGGGTTAACTTTTATTTGTCCATGTTCAAAGTACTTGAAACGGTCATTTAAGGTTGACTGAATCAGAAATTGCATTGCAAAAGAAACAGCAGTAGCCTAACAGTTAGAATCTGCCAATCTCTGGTCCTAATTCCTCACCGAAACATGAATCCGTCTTAAGTTAAGAGAAAAATCCTCTAGTCACTTCCGTTCAGCAAACAAAGTTCAAAACACTCGCTTAAACCGCCGGCTCAATTTTCTTCTAATTCCCCGCGTCTTTATCAAACTTTGTCTTAATTTATCTTGGACAATTTAAGACCCGAGTTCCATGTCTACTGCCAGGCGGAGGACCCCTCTTCATTGGACTCTAGGAAAATCCCCAGACGCAAGAGACAGAGGACTAAGATATTAAGCTGTTTAGAGACAGCAAGGAAACAGACAGCATGTCCCGGACGAGCAAAACGATTGACAAGGATTAGCAATAAGTGGATGGTTGGTTAAACTGAATGATGGCGTCATGCTTGATCCATCCACCCTTACGTAGGAATGGTCGATGGATTGTTAGTTTGTGATCGACTTCCGGTTTATATTTATTTGCTTGAGTAGTTTTTATTTTATAAATTTTACTTTGAAAATATGCATTCTCTGATTTATGGAAGGGTAAACTTGCAAAATGTTAGCTTTATAGATAGATAGATAGATAGATAGATAGATAGATAGATAGATAGATAGATAGATATAGACAATTTCTATAAAGACAATAATTTAGAGAGATATTAACAGGATAGATAGATATAAACTGAGATAGATATATTTGAAGTGAGAGATAAAAGATAGATAGATAGATAGATAGATATGAACAATTTAGATAGATATGAACACCGTAGATAGATAAAAACTGAAACATATATGAGCTGAGTTAGATATAAAAGATGAAATAGATTAAAAAAAAGAGATAGGCAAAAAAGACGAGGATAGATAGATAGATAGATAGATATGAACAATTTAGATAGATATGAACACGGTAGATAGATAAAAGCTAACTGAGACATATATGAACTGAGATTATAAAAGATAAAATAGATAAGAAAGAGATAGATAAGTAAAAAAGACGAGGATGGATAAAAAAGAGATAGATAGATAGATAGATAGATAGATAGATAGATAGATAGATAGATAGATATGAACAGACTGGGATAGATAGATGCGAACAGACTGAGATAGATAGATAGATAGATAGATAGATAGATAGATAGATAGATAGATAGATAGATAGATATGAACAGACTCTATATAGATGGATTGAAACGAACAGACTGAGATAGATAGATAGATAGATAGATAGATAGATAGATAGATAGATAGATAGATATGAATAGATAGATAGATAGATGAACAGACTGAGATAGATAGATAGATAGATAGATAGATAGAGGAGATAGATAGATAGATATGAACAGACTGGGATAGATAGATGAGATAGATAGATAGATAGATAGATAGATAGATAGATAGATAGATAGATACGAATTTGTTAAGACACAATTGGAGGAACTGAGAAATTTATATACAAACTGCGACAGACAAGCCGAGAGATAGAAAGATGTGAAGTGAATTTGATAGATAGATAGATAGATAGATAGATAGATAGATAGATAGATAGATATGCTACAATTTGTACAATTCCCGTAAGTGATCGCAAGTAGTTATTGTATGTTTACAAATGGTATATCATTTGATGTTTGCAACTACGTCTCTTGATAATGCGTGTTATATCTTTCTGCATAAAAAAGACATTTTGGTCACACAATATTAATGTGACATGTAAACATGAAAATAAGATGCTTTTTCTTTCTAAACAATTTTCTAACTTCCTTTATGATGAGAGCGCTTAATTAACTTTCAGGTAACAAGATCTGTGGCTATTAGCAAAGAGTCGGAACGTTTTAAGTTGCTCCATAGCCGTTTTTCCATTCTCAGTCGAGGTAACCGCAGTTTGTCAGAAGTAGAAACACTTACAGGGAAATTCCATTTATCGGTGACGTCACTGTCGACAGTTTGACAAATAAAAGCTGTCGTTAACCTTAGATGGCGACACCTGACGGCAAGCTGTCTTGATGGGATTCTGTTCTTTCATCTTAGAGTTTGATTTCTAATTGTCTTCGCACAACGTCTGATCACCATATAAAAGAAATAAAATAAAAGGAATAAAAGGAGAAAAAATAAATGTTTTATATTGAAAATAAGACGAAAGAAAAATATAATCATATATGAATACGAAATATTTAACCGTATTTCCTTTAACCTTGAACTGAAAAATTGTCTGTCTACGAAACGTTTTAAACAACCAGGAACACAAATAATGAATAACACTCTGGTTTCTTCATCTTCTTTTTTCTTTTCTTCTTCTTTCTCTCCTTTTTTTTTTCCTTCATTTCTTTTTCTTTCTTTGCCAGTTTTTCTTTTTCTATTCTACGAATTGATGTTATGTTTTTAACTTTTTACTTTATTTTATTTCACGTCTCTCGGTTGGTTTATACTTTGCTTTTTTCCATCCTAAATAAAGGGAATGTGCCTTGTTATGTTCTCAGGCCAGTACGCAAAATAAGCGGGTATCCACTAAAAAATAACTTGAAGTAAGAGAATTAAGTCGGATGAATAAAGTAAAATCCATTAAATCTTTAGAAATTGCTTTGTTTACGTTTCGGGTATGACCGGTCAAAGGTCACTGCATCAGACAGTGGTTTCCCTACAAAAGGGGGAACGCAAATACTGCACGTAAATACATATATACATATATATATATATATATATATATACATATACATATATATATATATATATATATATATATATATATATATATATATATATATATATATATATATTGGTTTAAGATTCAATTTACATTACATGAATCATTCATACAAAAACAGAGATATAGAAGTTAATGATTTAAATGGCGAGAATACATCTTCGCAAACAAATTAATAATATACGTTAACCCCCAAACCTGTATATGAATGTTATGATCCCTGTTTTTTGTATGAATGATTCATGTAATGTAACTTGAACTGCACCACATACTTGATATTAAAATAACTGATCCGACGTGCAACTTTCGGATAATAACTGTCACATTCTTGTATTTATTGAACAATTTAGTTCATGCCACATTGACTGAAAAACCTACCAGTACAAAAGAATTTTCTATTACCATATTAGTACAAAAACGCACAATCTTAAAATTTAAAAATTCAACCTCAGCGTTGCGACTGCACGCTCCAAAAAAAATTCTTACAATTAACAATAACACATTTCTAAAAACATTTTTTCGGATTACATCTATTTTCGTTGTCCTGTTATTACCGAGAAGTAAAAAACAAAAACAAATCTATTTCCATACCTGATGATGTCTGTAGGAACAGACGAAAGCTTGTAAAAAAAAAAAAACTAAAAAAGACCTTATGCAACTGGAATTTATAAACAGGGATCATAACATTCATATACAGGTTCGAGGTTAATCTACTTTATTAAATTTGTTTGCGAAGATGTATTCTCGCCATTTAAATCATTAACTTCTATATCTGTTTTTTGTATGAATGATTCATGTAATAATATATATATATATATATATATATATATATATATATATATATATATATATATATATATAGAGAGAGAGAGAGAGAGAGATGTAAAGATGTGTTTAGTAATCAGTATGGATAATTTAGGGGAGGCTATAACCGAGAGAGCTCAATGGAAAACGGAGAAAATATTAGTACACACACACACACACATTTCGTTCTCGATGGTGAGGAACAAAGATATATATATATATATATATATATATATATATATATATATATATATATATATATATATATATATATATATATGTGTGTGTGTGTGTGGTTTGAGTATATAATCTAACCGATTTCATTTAAATTCTGTTTTTCTCTTTTTTGTTTATATCATTTTTGTTATTAAACCCTAAAATCCATAAAAATATAAAACCCAATGTAACCCCCATATTTCAGGAATAGACAGCGCTCCTCATAAAGTGGCGAAAGCCATAACAAAAAATTTTAACTCCTCTCCTTAGAACAATCAGTGCCTCACATAAAAATACAAGCAACCCAGTTCAAAAACCAAGGGAAATAAATATGACTGATAAACTCATGGCCAGATATCTAGATATGAAATCCCTTTACACCAACGTCCCGGTTGAAAAATGCTTAAATCTCTTTTAAAAAAAAAACATCTAATGCAATAAAAAAAAATAAACATTCCCCTACCAACAGCTAAAATAATAAAAAATCTTTTGTCCCATCACCAATCAATACTATTACACATTTAACAATATTTTTATAAACAAAAATATGGATTACCAATGTGATCGTGGACGGATGAAATAGAATTTCTCAAAGCTGGTCCTTTCCAAAATATTTTACCTAAACAAACAATCAATATACTTCCGATATATTGATGATACTCCATTAATATATTTCCGTGATACTGATTTAACTGATCTTGTAGATAAACTAAACAAAGTCGAACACAATAGAATTCACATACGAAATAGAAGACAATAGGCTTCCATTTCTAGATAGCATGATACACCGAGTTAAAAGTAGCTTAAAACTAAGTATGCAGTGAAAATCGAGTAATAGGAATTTTATTATAAATTTCTATTCTAACAACAAAATAAAATCCGGAAAAATCGTCGGAATCTACTTAAGAGCACTCAGAAATTCTTGCTCCCAGTAGTATTTACATGAAGTGAAGAAATATATTAACAAAACCTGTCAAATCTAATGAATTATTTATATATATATATATATATATATATATATATATATATATATATATATATATATATATATTGTTCTATCTACTAACTCTATCCAAACTACAATCGAATAAAATTTATCTAAATTCAGCATACAAAACAAAACAATAAGTTAATATTTGAAGGAGAAATTTACTCTATTACTGTCAGGATTTCCACAACGAATACATCGGAGAAAATTTAAATAAAAGCTTATAAGGAATATTTTATAAAACAACACATTAAATGGATTATTTGCTCATTGACACGAGACTGACCATAATTTTGATATAAAAAGTGTTACTCAAATTAAAATACGAAAATGTTTAGAAAATGCTTTAATTTTTAGATCGTTCACGTGGCATCCAGGGTCTTACAACGGTTTACCATTTTTCGTAGATTTTCTATTATCGCAATGTGTGATTTTTTAATAATTAAAATGATAGAAACATAAACAAAAAGAAAGATTATGTGAATGAAACTGGCTAGATTATATACCTAAACACACACATATATATATATAGAGAGAGAGATTAAAGGGGATTTGAATAATTATAATTAATTCACCGAGTCTAGAAGTATCCTCAACAGAATGAAATGAAAGGTCCTCTATTTGGGACTCATCAGCAGTGCACATCCACTATCGAGAATCGAAACCAGACCGTTACGATATAACGCAAGCGTCAAACCTACTGGACCAACACCCGATTCTACTTATACCGCCGGACGGTGCCCCCATGAGTCACGACGCACAGTCTGTTCAGTCGACTCGGATGAGTCACACGACAGAATTTGTGAAGAGCTGGTGCTATATTGAGTCTGGTTTATTACCTTACCGTCACCGAAATCCGTTAGTCCAGTCGGTATGACTCTTGCATCATATTGTAACGGTCCGGGTTCCATTCTCGGTAGTGGCTGCCGGCTGCGTATTGACTCTCGTTCGTGTGCATCAGTAGGCACAAGCCCATTCCAAAATACTGCCTCCATCCTGCTTCACAGATGAGCTTCTCTGCTTTCGAATCATAAATAGATCCTTTCTTTCTCCATACTTTGATCTTTCCATCACTTTGGCAAAGATTCATGTTGGCCTTTATCAGTCCATAAATCTTTCTTCCTGAACTTTGTCGATCATCTCTGAATTTCCTTGCAAATTCCAATCTGGTCTACCGATTCTTACTACTGATGACTGGTTTGCTTCTTGGGGTATGGCCTTTATTTGCTCTCGAATTTTCTTCGAACGGGGAAATGTGAAACTTTCACCCCTGTTTTGTGGAGATTGTTGGTGATGTCACTGACTACCCTTTTTTTTATCTCACAGCTCTCAAAATGTTTCTGTCATCAACTGCAGTTGCTTTTCTTGGCTGACCTGTTCTATATCTGTTGCTCAGTACAACAGTAGTTTATTTCTTTTTCGGGGCGTTACAGATTGTTCTGTTGGCTATGCCTAATGTTTGTCCTATGGCTCTGATAAATTTTGCTTCTTTTCTCAGCTTCAAAATAGCTTGCTTTTCTCCTATAGACAGCTCTTTCAACTTCATGTTGGATTATCCTTTTTAACAAGAAATGCAGTTTTTACATATGAAACCCAAGGCTAAGCCCAAGAGTAGTCATTCAGAGCTATTTAATGTTTAAGCAATCAATCTAAAAGGCAACACCTGGGCAACAAGAGACAAATGTGTTCCAAAAATTTTGCTCACTTGAAAAATGATTGGGTTCAAACAAATGTTAGTATGCCCTGAGTTGTTTAACGCATCTAAATGTAAATACCAGGGAATACAATTTGAAATTGTGAACTCTTGTCTCATATTTATCTTCTGATCTTGAACCCAAATTAATTCAGTGGACATTAAAACAAAGGAATTGGCATTGTTGTTCGAATAATTTTGGTGTGGTCTGTATCTATAATTACCTGCGTCACTAATTCAGATTTGACGAAAGGTATATCTGCTCAATTTCGTAACCGAAATGTAACCAAAGCAATTTCTAAAGTGTTAATGCTTTTTATTTTGAAGTAGATATAGTTTGGTTACATCGAACGTTATTTTTGGTGGATGCACGTGTTAGAGTAGACGCTTCGTTTTATTTTAAGCAGTATTTATTTCGTCTAGCGGCCTATAAAATCGAGTAAACTTATTAAAGAAATGTGCCCTCCGATAGGATTCGAACCCATGTCCCCTCTCCAGCATATATAAATTTCGGCAACACAATAAAAAATTAGACAGACCTTATAGGTTCTTTTTAATCAATTTTTTTTTAGTTGTTGCCTAAATGTACCTGATATATATATATATATATATATATATATA